TTCATGTGGCGGTTATCATGGAACCTTCAATGTGACACGTAAGTGCCATTCCGTGAAAAGCGGCATATGGTCCCCAAGTAAAAATATGGTTGTGCCCTTAACGAGAAAACAATGGGCGGAACTAAATAAAATGGAATTTTGAAAGGGGATCAGAGGTTATGAAACCTGCATATCACAGATAAGACGTCAAAAGACAAATTTTAAAAGCAGGCCTTGGTACCTAACCTTGGTACTGTGTACATTGTTTTGCAGCGTATTCGTTACACTCACACAAATATGGTTGGAAAGAGAGCTGAAACGTGATTGAATAAAAGGTAGGTCTCTGCTTAGCTTAAAGCAGAAGGATATTCATCGCGAGGTGTGTGATATTTATGGGGAGAGACAACAACGACAAAACATAACGCTGAAAGAATTCGATGACTCCTGAAGAAAGACACACGGTACACTGTCAGACAGTTAGCTAGAATGACAAACTTGCCTTTAACATGTGTTCAATGCATTTTGAAGAAACATCTTGGGCTTTGTAAGATTAATGCTAGGTGGATACTACATTTACTAACTGACGACCAAATGAGGTCCCGAATTGAAAAGGCCAAACTTTTGTTGAAAAAAATACCCGAAATAAAGCAAAAAGGTTTTCTGCAATTTGGTTACAGGTGACGAAACATTTGTGTATTTTTTCGAACCCAAACGAAAATGCTCTAATCAAATCTGGGCCACCAAAAAACGCACGGCGCCCTAGCTTTACTAAAAGAATACGAACCGTGAGAAAGGTTTTCTATGTCATATTCTTTGATAACAATGACCCAGTCGTGAAATTACCTGTGCCGAAGGTAGAGCTGTCACAGGCAAGTACTATCTATATGTTAGTGTTCATCCGTGCTGTTCTACAGAAATTAGAAGCATCGACGGGAGCGATAGCGACAGGACAATGTTTCTAATTTCTGTAGAACAGCTACGGATGAATACTAACATACTTAGTGCCAAACTTCATTTGGCCTCATTATTATTCACTTTATTACGTCACTGCGCGGTTCTATGAAGTACTTTGAAAAATAGAAGGTGACTATGAACGGATTTCGATATAGTATCGACTTTTGTTCTTCTATGAAAATTAACGCACATAATTTTTAAGAAATACAGCGTTTTCATTAGATGACTCACTAAAGGGACGTTGTACTTCGCAAACTAAAGAAACACTATAAACGCCTTCGCCCATAAACAGGTTTGAAGTACCTCAGACTTTTGCATGACAATGCGCCAGCTCACAAGGCACAAATTGTTACGGAGTTTTTGAAGGCGGCAAACGTCACTGTCCTCCCCCACCAGACATAGCCCCGCGTGACTATTTCTTGTTCCCCGAACTAAAATTTCACCTGCCGGAAAAAATACAAATCAAGAAATATATGATGTAGTACTACGTAAAATAACATATTTTTATCGTAATCTATATCAAGTAAGATAGTACAATGAAACAAACAGATAAACTACTCATTATTTGCTAAGCAAAACGTGTTTTCTTACTATATCAAGAAAGCATAAAAAGGATTTGGTTATTTTCCTTGCATCGTTTGCTTCAGCAACATGTTTTAAGATGGCCCCAAAACCTAAATAGGGAAGGTCTGGCAAATGTCACGGTAAGCTAGCATCCTTTTTTCTGTTTGTTTAACACAGTATTGTTCTTTAACATCGAGATTGCAAATTTATAACCATCGAAACGTCAGACAATTTTACACTAGCCAGTTTGACATGACAATTGCTGTGATAAGCAATTTGGAAGCAGAGATATCATTGCTAAAAATATTAACACTAAAACGTTTGGGGCTTTGCAAATATTAAGTAAAATATATGAGTAATTGGTGACTGACTTGGAATACGCATATATTATCATGGATACCGAAGGGACAAACCATCGTCTTTTTAAGAGAAATAAAAAATATGAACTATAAAACCTGCCCAATTATTCCTTTTGTTATCTGGTTAAAATGATACTTTGTCAATGTGACCATTGGTGAATACTTTACACCTGCACAGAATTATAATATAACAACGTGACATCAATGAAATAAATATAACGCATGTTTTTGTCTGATAAAATGAAAAACAAAACAAACAAACGAATTAAACACGTACAACACAGGTATAAGGGCCGTCGTCAGGAAATGATAACGTTATAAGATATAGGACATAAAAAGTAGGTGTGCATAATATCATTTTTATGATGCATTGGTGACTATAATCTTAAACTATTTACTAGATTCAGTTTGTTTCATTTTCAAACTGTTCGATAAAAACAATAACCGTTATAGGTCCCCCCCCCCGAGAAAAAAGGTTGGTATTTTTAATGATACACTTAAGGTAAAATATAAAAAATAATTACTTGTTTGCTAGTAAGTGGTATATAGAGCTTATGAAAAAAAATTCTATTTTAATTGTATGCGAAAAAGCAAGTAAATTTATGTTTTGAAGAGCTAATTTACTTTCAGGATCAGTTTTTAACACTATTTGTTACAAACACACTGTTTTTAGTCCCCTACCGGTTTAACCGGAGGGGACTTTAGGTTTACCCTCCGTCCGTCTGTCCGTCTGTCTGTCCGTCCGTCTGCATGGTCTGTCCGTCTGTCTGTCTGTCTGTCAGTCCGTCCGTCCACAAAATTGGATCCCGCGATAACGCAAAAAGTACTGAAAATATTTTTATGAAACTTAATATATGGATAGATAGCAGTATGGAGATTATGAACGTCTTTTTCTTTTCTTCCTATGTTGAAAATTCTGGTTGCTATGGCAACAAATAGTCTGAAAATATGGCAAATTTAAGACATAAACTGGATCCAGTGATAACTCAAAAAGTACTAAAAATATTTTTATGAAACTTGAAATATGGGTAGATGGCAGTCTGGAGATTATGCACATCTTTTTCTTTTCTTCCTATGTTAAAAATTCTGGTTGCTATGGCAACAAATAGCCTGAACTTCAAGATTTCTGATTTAAATTTTTCAGCTTTTTCACTATAAGTTCTTTATTTCTTAAGGTGTTTACTTCAAACTTTAAATATAAGTTTCTGGTCATCAACCACATCATATGTGACAAGGTTTACAACTCTAGCACAAAAATTATCAGTATTACCTCCCTTGAACTTGAAAAATGTTGTCTTTTTTAAATAACTTCTTTATTTCCTAATGTATCTATTTCAAACTTCATATATATGTTTCTTATTATCACTCAACATTTTTGAGGAGGTTAAATACTCTAGCAAGACTATTTCCAGGATTATGTCCCCCTTGAACTTAGATTTTTTTCGAGAAATTGGTATTTTTCACTCCGACTGCATTATTCCTTATAGGATTTACTTTAAAACCCCACATTGTAATAATATGACAAGGTTGTATAAACATTATTTCCTTACTAGGCAGGGAAACTTAACACATTACTGTGATATAGACAAACTTAGAACTCAAAAGATTTATGTTCATTCATGTCATTCATTCACTGGTAAAATTGAATGGCCAATGGCCCATCAGAATCTTGCTTGGGTTCTAACCGGTAGGGGACTTATGGATTGCTTGCAATACTATGATAATTGCTTGTTAAAGTGTTATCTATATACAACATTAGAGATTGTCTGCCGAATAAACAATGTTCAACTCATTTAGAAAATTAGGCTGGGGAATTTCTTTACAAATGAAGCTGGAATCTAAGATCTATAATATATATACCACATACATAAATAACCATTTATCTATCAAACAATCAATTATAAGGTGAGAAAGAACAAATTTTTAAAATGAAGAAGAATTTAAACATTTCTTCGATTTGACTAACGTTACAGCTGAATACATTTCAAGGCATTGAATAAAAAAGAAATACCATTTGCAAAGTCTACTTGTAAGAATGTTTACGATATGAGTGCACCTTGTCTAATTATTTAGCCTTGAAGTCATATAGGTCTCTAAATCTAGTAATCAACGCTTTTCTTCAAAAGAATATTTGATGCAGATACTGTCGGTCGGAATGATTTGGCTTATGTAATATAATAATTAAGCAATATTTTAATGTTTTGCATTATCACACCACACTTACTGACACGCCATTAAACAGGAGGCAATTCGATAAAAACAGGTAAAAGGTAAGTAGGAGAGACTTGTAACAATGCTTTTATCTAGTATATCGAACATTTTATTCAAAATTTATGTTATTATACTAGTAATGAAATATTTATCATGTCATAACGAACTTTATTGCAATCATCATTTAGATATCATAACAGGAGAATCGTTCTGTATTTAATTCCACTGTTTTGCAAAGGTAATCTGATGATAAAAACCCGAGGCCTCTATTACCCGTAGAGGCAAGAGATATTCGTAAAGAATACAGACAAAATGATTTTAAAATTCGAAACAAATAGGTATTTAAAGACCAATTGATGTGATATTTAAATTATATCACAATGACTCTGTTTTTATGGCAATAGATAATTATGAATTTGAGGTATTTTTCTTTTAAATCGCAATGCCTACCTGCCCGATGACTGACACCGTTGGTATGACAATGTTCTTCATTGAGGTAATGTTTTGATATGTAAATGACCAGAAATAAATAAATAAATAAAAAATAAATAAAAAATAAATGTAAAGTCATAATGTGTACGAGTTTTCTCTAGAATATAATGTAAAATCATATATTACAATGACTTGTTACCAAATTAGCTATTGTCTCACACATTAAGTAGTAAAATAATTGTTGCACAATGTTCTATCCACCCTTTATCAGATACCTTTATCAGTATATTCAAACATTTGATTAGTTTTTATGACTAAAGCAGTACTTTCTTAACACATGTAACCTAAAATATGGCATATATAGTATGTTTTAGAACACAATACATCGATTTCATATCTAAAAAAACATGATTGTCTAATTTCATATGTGTCTTAAACATAAGTTTTGATTGATTATTTTTTAAATCAGAACTGAAAAGAACATAAACTAGAACTCAAGGAAAATCTTACTTTTTTATTTATTTCCAATGTGTACAACACACACAAATCAGAAATTTGATTTCAATCAAATTTATCAAGCAACATACACACAGAGCACATAAGGACAATAAACCACAATTTACGACATGATCTTATTCTTAATTGAATCTTTAATGCCATTGAATAATCGTTTCACACCATGTCTAAAGTTCTGGTTGTAAAAACAGTAGATGACCGGATTCATCGCACAATTTATCAAATATGATCTCAAAAAGAACTGGTATGCCATTTTGTTAGGAAAAGAAAGACTTTGGTACAAGTCTGGATGTTGATTACGTATACACACGATAACCAAATATGGAATAAAACTTATTTCAAATACTGATGTAACTAAAAACAACATGCATGTCAACCGTTTTGTTCGCACGTGATGTCCTCCATGTTTTCGAGACAGGTTAAACTCAATATTTGATTGGCTACTGGTTGACCGTATAAGTTTGTGTTTACCGTACGAACTATGCTCACTCTCCATAGATAAAAGTCGCACACTTGTCCTCGACTCTTTTGTAAAAGAAGTTATTGAGTAAGCACTATTTTGTCGCTGCAAAAGCACGTTCTTTGATGTTGTTTCAGGTTGACTGAACTTTGTTCCAGAAATAAGTTTCTTTGCTATGCATGTATATAGCACTGCCAATATGATAAAAATAATTATATGCCCTACAAAGAAGATCATTAACAGTATATTTGGATATGACGTGTTTAAAACTTCGTCGTCAACTAGGCAAGTTTTAGCTTCAACGGTCACATTGTATGCCACAAGTGTGTATGTAAATGTTCCATATCCAAAAATCATTGGTACAGCCGTCAGACAAGCACAGAACATTAGACTTACACAAATACATTTACAACATGTTGACGATATCCTTGGTTTTAATGGTAAACAAATAGACCGGAAGCGTTCCACAGCAATGGCGGCCAACACAAACGATGATGTATTGTTCATAGCCGCAGTGAGAAATCTGGATAATTTGCATAACCAGGGAATGTCAAATGTCCAGAAGTTAGTTATCAAGTACAGTTCAACAGGAAGGCTAATTAAACAATTAATCAAGTCGCTGAAGGCAAGGGTTATAATGAAATAACTTGCAGTACTCCGTTTCATTTTCGTAATGTACACAAGCAAAGCAATAGCATTTCCAGGAACCCCAAGGGCTATTAATACACATACCAGAATAAACGACGGTGTTAAAATACGAAACTGTGAATCGTTCATTGTTGCTAAAATTGAATCACTCATGATATCAAATTCCGACGTCGCACCATTTCCTGCATTTCCATTATTATTCATTTGAAATGAACCCGCGGTGCTATTTGCTAGATTGCCAAGCATTATATTTGTCAAATTGACACGTGACACCAAGTATTCCGACGAGCGATCTAAAGTACTTTTCTCGGATGCTGTTAGATAGATTCCCTCGGGTGATATTGCTTCCATGACAGTTAGATATATTTCCACTGAGAGAAGAAACAATACTTGATAGTCATAAATATTCTTTTTTAGACATGATATCCTTAATATGTCATTCTTTGTACTTCCATTGTTTGTACAGAAATATTAATACTTTCCGGAAGTTATAATTTTTTATTCATCTTTTACCACTGTTACTTTTCAGACATCAAGTTTTGATATGAGTTCCAAGTTTCAGTGCAAATCTAAGCTGGGAATCTGAATTGCACTGAACATATATTTCTTTGATTTTTTAATAACAGCCCTTCAAGCAACAAATATATATGAACCGTTAGATGCTTGATTTAATGAATTAGTTAAATGATGTAAATCATATTTTACACCTGTTTAACACATGTTTACATATTGTTTATTCTTGTATCATAATTAATAAAGAATTTTATTGATAACAATCATCTGAAATTATGGCACTTGTTTGTGTTGATCTCGGTAATATACTTGTATTTGATTTAACCTGACACACAAACGCAAAAATGTCTTATAAATTTCTGAGTTATGGAGAAAAAAATGTAAACTTATAGGATCTTTTTTAATGAGAAATCAATTTTAATCGCGTTCACTATCAAATGATTCCGGTAAATAAACGATATATCGTCAATTTTCGATGGCAGTATTACAATAAATTGTCCTGTTGATAATATAACAGTTAATCCAAATATTTACTTATTAATAGTTACTTCCAAATATTATGAAAAATTGTTTTTATTAACTGCACACACTGTCCAGACTTTAAACACCAATACTCGTATATGTGAACCAAAGTATCCAAATCACAGTTCTTTTATATCAGAACTAAACTTATTTATGGATCCCACGCAAATTGTTTCCACCTCCAAACTGTCTCTGATACAAACACGTCGTCTGTGGTAAAGAAAATATTCAATCACAATAAAATAGACGCGTATCAGTTCCAATAAATAACACAGTTAACTCACATAATTGGCCAAAACAATATAATTCTTGCATTGTTCATCTTTGATAAGTATGCACCGTCTATTTTACCAAGAATATTTATTATCTGAATTAGCGGTTTAAAACTGATTTATATACTCCCAACAGTAGTTAGGAATTCTACTAATGCATGTCGATTAATATTACCGACATTTAATTCTTTATTCTCCCGGAAGATTTTACATATCTCTCATTTGGTACACCTTTATGAACCGTATTGTCTTGTATTTCTAATTAGTTACAGTCGAATCCACCTGTTAGCCGCGCGCATTTAATTGTTTCACCAGCAGTAAGAATCACGTTTAGACAGTTTGGGAGTTGTTAAATAAGCTTATTTGAATATTCTCAAAGTCTACGAGGAGTTCAGACAGGGCTTATGTTATTTTAGATAATGTTTTGCCCTATTTTTGCGCAAATATTCGAGGTAACAGAGTTCTGCCTCTATATCCCGTCAACAAAAAATCCTTCTGTTTCAGCTAACCAAAGTTATGTCCTAAATACAATGAATAGAGTTGAGATGTACTTTCCTCGTACAATAGTTTCTATTTTGAAGATCAAATCCTTTATTTACAGAAGTTATTTGTGTGAGCCTCCCAAAACGTCAGAACAGTGTATATCACCTTTTGGCTGCCCTGAAAATATATAAAAAAAATCTTTTTAAATCAGTATAAATCTATAAATGTTCTTATCTAAAGCTTTATTAAGGTCTTTCGTAAATATATTTTCCAACAAATTTATGTATAAAACGATGTATGACCTGGTACTTAATAAATTGAGGAAGCGGTTAAGAATAGTATAGAAACAAACACAATCAAGACCAAAGCAACAAATTAAATTGTTATAATAAAAATGTTATGTACATTGTGTGTACAGCAAATCAGAAAACACGTCACTACATGTGTATGTTTAAAGCATAGCATTGCAAATAAAATAAATCACAGAAACGCTATATCTGAAAAGAATTTTGAACAAGTTTGAAACATTTTCAGGAAATTTCAATAAACTTGAGCATTTTATTAAAATGTGAAGTACAAATTATATTTAAAATACAAACGAGGTTGGTATGCAACAGGGTGCTTATTGTCTGCGAAACTGCAATTTGATTATAAAAATATAGTTCTGTATTAAAATTTTATTAAAGTCACATTAAACGATGCTTATATTATCAAAACCTTTGTATTCACATTTACAAATATAGCTGCTCTGATATTCTAGAACAAAATATTTGGCAGAATTGTTAACTAGTGCAAATAAGAAGTACATACTTAAAAATTATGATTATATTTTTTTAAGTTGCGTTTTATGTAACAGCACAAGTAAGTAGTACTTACTAGTCTACCTAGCATGTAATAATTTCGAGATGGACCAATTTTATTTGAGTACTTTTCATTTATTACAAGCGCAACAACAGGAAACATCTCAGTATTTTTGTATTACAATTACAAGCTGAAAAAAACTATGCTTTTGCAACAACATTCAATATAGATTTATTTTACACGCTCGAAAAGTATCTATCCAATTACAACTAAGTAGGTTATTTTTAGTCCATTGAATAATAGCGATTGTTACATTTGGTCTATTATCATCCACTATGCCAATATCGAATCACAAACAATTATTTGATGATTGGGGCTTAAGACATTTTGTTATTCAAAAATACGTCATATTTTTAACATACGCCTTGCCATATACTTGAATATGTGCTGACGAATACAGCAAAATGATACACCCGTAAAAACAGGTGTCATATTGATATAAAACAAAATAAGTTGCAATTCAATTTTAGGGCCTTTTTCTTACACTTGCGTTTAAGGTGTCTGTAATATGTTCAACATATCAATCAAACTGACAAGTAATGCACATACATAAGTGTGGTAACTTAAACCACAAAAAAGAGATTAACCTCAAAACAATAAAGCTTGAAGATAAGTACAAAATAATGTAAATGTTATTTTATCATTGCTGATATGTGCAGATCTTATCGAAGGAAACAAAATCAAGAAAATAACATTTTTAGTTGTCATTATATAATCTTATAATCAACAAACTGGCAAATAATATGTTTTGCTATTCAGGAACATAGAGAAAGCGTGATTTATGTCTTTATAAACAGAGTTTATTATTACTAGTTAAATAAAGACCACTGACAGACAACTTGATGTAATTATAATGTAGTGAGTTCTAAGTT